CAATGAGGAGGAGCGGGAGGAGGGATTTATTCAAATCAAGTTTCTTAAATCAACCCTCCCCCCCCCCTTTTTTTCCCCCCCTCTTCCTACGTCCCCCAAATTTTCCTTCTCCGTGTCACCTTAGCCCCGTTTCTGCTGTCCCAGAGATTTTTATTTGTTATTTAATTAGTGTGCCAGGGTCAGCAGCAGTCGGCGACGGGAGGGAGGATGGCATCGGTGCTGCGAGGGAGAGCGGCTGTGGGAGGGAGGACGAAGGGAGAGCCAATTTCTCTCCGAGCTGCAGAGAGTTGATTGCAAAGAGAAGTGATAAAGTAGCTGGAGTTGAGGGAAACTGAGGGGAAGCAGGGCAGGAATTTCAGCTGGAAGCACCATTTTGCAGATGGTATTTGCAGATGGGCAGGTGGCCTGCGTCCAGGATGAGCCCTCTGAGCTTGGAAAAGGGTTTTCTCCTCTCTCGCAGCAGACAAACACCCAGGAAGAGAAGTGACTGCACAGGAACAGCAGCGTCTGCACTGTCCTGCATTGCCTCAGAGCTGCACATCAGCACCATCCCTGCACCACCAGTGCGGGAGTGCTACCTGTGGCTGGAAAACCAGTGGAGTGGAGCTGTGGAGAGGGTTGGTGAGGAAGGGAAGGGGTGTCCAGCTGGTTCTTTTGATTAGTCCAGGCAGAAGAGCAGGGTGGCACATGTTCCCTGCAAGGTACAGACATAGAATCAACCAGTCACTGACTCCCTTCTGCAGAGCAGCCTCCAAGGGAAAGCTCTCCAGACCTGGACAATGTTCCCTAGAGGAGCCTGAGCATCTACAGCAGCCCTAGAGGAGCCTCTGACATTACATCCCACGGAGATACTGGTACAACACTGTTTTTGCTGCTGCCAACCCTGCTGCTCACAGCCACATAGATCCATGTGAAGAATTGGAATGCCCACATCCTCACCCAAATTCCATGAGACCTGCTCTGTAAGAGCAGCTGCCTGCTAATGAGGTTCCTCTAATTACCCTGAAATTTCATTATATCTCAGTACCTACTGTTACTCTTCCTGTTGTGGAGGCCCCTTTCCTCTGCTTCCCTCTCCATGGAATCACCGGCTCATTAAGGTTGGAAAAGACCTCCAAGGTCATCGAGTCCAACCTTTGACGAAACACCACCATGTCAACTAAACCACAGCACTGGGTGGCACACCCAGTCATTTCTTGGACCCCTCCAGGGAAGGTGACCTCCCTGGGCAGCCCCTTCCAATGCTTGACAACCCTTCCAGTGAGAAAATTCTTCCTGATGTCCAACCTGAAGCTCCTCTGGTGCAGCTTGAGGCCACGTCCTCTTGTCCAAGGGTTAGCTGTGCTGGGGAGAAGTGGCTGACCTCCACCTGCAACCTCCTTTCAAGTAGCTGTTGTGAAAAATTCTCCCCCAGGCCTCCTTTTCTCCAGCTTTTTACCACTTCCCTTCATTTTCTACATCTCCCCCCCACCTTCTATTTCCTTTAGCAGCTAAATTATTATCAAACCATCCTTGCCTTTACCCTGCAAAAGGGTAAAAAAAAAAAAAAAAAAAAAAAAAAAAAAGGGCAATTTTTTCTTGAAGAACAACTAAATCCATTATCTGCCCAGGTGCAGGAGCCTGGGGGGACACAGCTCCACAGCAGGAGCACAGACAGCTCTGATCCCAGTGCCCTGGCACAGGAACAGCCCCACAGATGCCTCCCCTGGAGAAAGGCAGGTACAGACACATTGGCAGTGCCTTCAGCTCTGGGTTTGATCCAGCAGCATGAAGCAGACCAAAGAATCAACTAGGCTTTTCAAAAGATTTATTTTGAATTTTTTCCCCTCCAGTTGTGACGTCTTCTCTGGTCACGTCTCACAGATTTTGGTAAGTTCACCACATACGAGGGGAAAAAAGAAAAGAAATTAAAGATCACATAATTGTAGAATGGTTTGGGTTGGAAAGGACCTTAAAGATCATTTGCCATGGGCAGGGACACCTTCCACTAGACCAGGTTATTCAAAGCCTCATTCAACCTGGCCTTGAACACTTATCCAGGGATGGAGCATTCACAGCTTCTCTGGGCAACCTGTACCAGGACCTCACCAATCCCACAGGGAAGATTTTCTTCTTAATATCTAATCTAACTCTGCCCTCCTTCTGTTTAAAGCCATTCCCCCTTGTCCTTCACTCCATGTCCTTGTCCAACCCCCCTCTCCAGCTCTCCTGGAGCCCCTTTAGGCCCTGCAAGGAGCTCTCAGGTCTCCCTGGATCCTTCTCTTCTCCAGGTGAACCCCCCCAGCTCTCCCAGCCTGGCTCCAGAGCAGAGGGGCTCCAGCCCTCAGATCATTTTCATGGTCTGTTCTGGACTCACTCCAGCAGCTCCATGTCCCTCCTATTTTGAAGGCCCCAGAGCTGAACTCAGCACTGCAGGTGGGGTCTCACAAGAACGGAGTGGAAGCTGCACTCGGTTTTGTTGAGCTTCATGAGGTTAACATACACTCACCTCCCAAGAGTGTCCAGGTCCCTCTGGATGGAATTCCTCCCCTCCAGCATGTCAGACACACCACAGCTTGGTTCTGTCAGCAGACTTACTGAGGGTGCACTGGATAATGAGGGACATTAAATGATGCAGGACAAAAAAATCCTCTACAGCAAAATATTTGTTCTTCCCATAAAAAAAAAAAAAAATATCCATATTCACTTTTAACTTGAAGAA